AAAAAATGCAAATTGGCTAATTTACATATGTAAATTACCCAATAGTAATATAGCTGCAAATAACATCAATGAGCACCCGTATCAAATTTGGTTCAAATCCGTTGAGTTTTCATGAGATAATCCCAATTTACTAAAGAATGAATATGGAAATTGTCTAATTTACATATTTAACATTAACAGATTTTGTATAAGTATTCATATTTCTTTTCAAATGTCTTCAAATTTCATTTATCTTCCTTTTAGACAACCTCAGAAAGTGAAGTTTATGTGTAAAACGCATACAGGATTGATTTTTTTTTTACCGCGACAATTAACACCCCATAAATTAGGAATGCTGCCTCAAAAAACAAACAATCAAGATCGGCATAAGTGTTAAAATAGTTACATAAAGAGTTACTTAACTTAATGTTCGACATCTTTGAAGTTGGAGGACACGTAACGCCTATGGCTGAATACGGCACGTGAAAGATGCTCATGGTTTCTTTGAATTCTCGCCCTCGAAACAGAACTCGATGTGATCTGTTAGCAATCTTGCTGTGGTGCCGGGTGTGATGCCAACGAGGCTGCATAGTAAATAAAATTAACATTGCCCCCTGTTTCTTCTTGGCTTCAGAATGTTTCTTGCCAGCTTTTTTGCTGTTCAAAACATAGGTCGAGATGTATGTCTTGTATGTTTTGACATCTCGTCTAAGGTCTTCCCAATCGGTTAACCGAAGTGAACGTTGTCGCGCATTCCCGACACTACGGGATCTGCTAGTTCCATCAAATTTGTTTTCTACTTGCACTTGAAAAAACATAGTCGTGATGTTAAACGTTTACTGGTGGGTTGACAGTGCCGCACTGCCTGATTCATGACGATTAACACGAGAAGCACAGGAATGAACAAAGTGTGACTAAAAAAGGAAACCGCCGAAAACTGCTCTGTAGCGAAACTGGCCTAGATTGACATTCAACCTTCTGTCCTCCACTTAAATACCCCTTGTCACATGACCCCACATACCATATCCATCTATTTGCCATCTCGAACAGACAATAGTTACCCGCTATACTGCGAAACGCGGTTAACAATATGACTAGGTGCCATTGCTATTGTTGTTAGAGGGCAGCAGACTAGGTGCCATGGCTATTGATGTTAGAGGGCAGCAAAGTAGATGCTTTTGTTCATGATAGAGGGCAGCAAACTAGGTGCTGATACAGATGTTAGAAATCAGCAGACTAGGTGCCATTGCTATTGATGTTAGAGGGCAGCAGACTAAGTGCTACGGCTATTGATGTTAGAGGGCAGCAGACTAGGTGCCATGGCTATTGATGTTAGAGAGCAGCAGACTAGGTGCCATGGCTATTGATGTTAGAGGGCAGCAGACTAGGTGCCAAAGCTGTTGATGTTAGAGGGCAACAGACTAAGTGATATGGCTGATGTTAGAGGGCAGCACAGTGGGTACAATAATATCTATAGATGTAGAAAAAAGTTTACATTACCAGCGTTTCTAATGAAAGCATCAAAAAATACATCCCAAGACTTGACGTTTGGTATAGCTGTGTCTACTTGGTAATGATTATATAACGATACTGCTACATCTTTAGGATTACGTGCTATGTAAATTATCTGAATCAAAAAGGCATTACACAAAACAGATAAACAATTTGTAATCAAGTATTTATATTGAAACTTTGATTGAATTAATATGTAATTTTAGTAAATGAGGAAGTTAATTACTGTTGTTTGTGAGAATTTGTAAAAAAGTACTCGTACAGATTGGTGGATGGTGAATACAATTTAAAAGTAAACAAAAAAAGTAATGAAGAATGAAACAATCTGAAATGCTTTTTACACCAACAGAGAGATACTAGCAGGTATGTACATTACATGTACAGTCTGAATGTAAATTACATTTAGCGAGCGTTAAGCTGAATTTCAAAATTACCATATATCTAAATTTAATATATGTAGATCGAGTAATCTGCCAAAATATGTCTTATATTAGTAACCTTGGTAAATATTACAAATAATAAATTAAGATTAATTATGACTATGTTACAAACTTCAGAAATTGAAATTTTTATGGAAATTAAGGCAAAGCCATCTTAGAGCGGGCTTTGAAATTATGCTTGAGATTTCCTGGAATACCTTTGCATTGGATTCACCTAATTGTGGAGGTAACAAACTTCCTTGTAAGTGACTGGCAATAAATCTTGGGGACTGTGTTTCACAAATCACTTCATAGTTTGGTTCATGCTCAGAAATCGCAAACTCTGGAAACAGAACCACATCTGTCGCATGACTCTCATATTCTGCTATATGATGGGCAATTTCCATCATCCAAGCTGCACCTAATGAAAAAGACATCACTGTACTAATCACTTTAATAAAATTATGAAAATTTAGATACATTCTGTATGATACACTTTTACTGCTGACTACATCAAATCAGTTATATTTAAAGTGCCAACAAGTATTTATAAAACACAGTCCTAGTTTTGTTTTATCAAAAATTGATTCTTGTCTTCAGTACAAAAAACATGTAGATATGTCTACCAAAGCGCTCTATGTATCATATGAATGTCAATGTTAACGCAGTATGACTGGAAGTGCATAGAATGACAAAATGTGGT